CGGTTTTCTAAAATGAATTAGTAAAGCGGGTGGTGAAATGTGACAGCCTCTCGGAGTGGGATGCAGCCAGGAATGCAGCTTGGGATGCAGTGCTGCTCGCATCCACAGCAGGAGACTAGGGTAGTCCTCAGCTCAACTGGCAAGATCTGGGGGGCTCGAATTATTGTAATGAATTAGTAACTGAGGGTGACCCTCCTCTGGAAAATGAATTGCAGATCGCAGCACGAAGCAAATGGACAGTCTGAAATTCAATTCATTTTGGTCTATAAATGAGAAAACTGTAAAAAAAAAAACTCAAAAAAACTGTAAAAGATAGTTTTTTTTTCTTATGGTCAAGTGAAAATCCAGAATGAATGTGGAATTTAAAACTTTATAATTTGGGTTTCTATGAATACACGATGTCTAGTTTTAAAAAGTGAGCATGCTTAAATGAGTTCTAACATTCAATCGAAGGGAAAAAAAGCACACATTCAAAATGTCAGAGAAAGAGCACTTTGTACATTACTGTGAAAGTCGTCACTTGAAACTACAATAGTTTAGCATGGAGGGGAGGTAATATTCCAATTGTCTCCATTTCCAAGTGGAATTTTCAAACAAGCAGTAGTTGTTAGCCTATCATCCACTCCCATGGGTTACAACAGTGCCCCCCCCGGAGTCCCGCAACCTCACAGACCCGATGTCAACAACGCAGAGCATGAAACAGAGAGGGGACCAAGAAGGAGACAGACCCACATGAGATCACTGCCCCCGTTTCGCGGCTGTAGATTCAGGTGCTGTCGTTAAGGCTCCAGTCTCAGCAATGGGATACAGTGTACTCACTGATCTTTTTTCTAAAACATCATACTTTGTTGCTAACACAACATTGTAAATCAACTGTACTTCAATAAGTCTTTTTTTAAAAAAACAGTGTACTTTTTTCTGCATGGCTTAATAAAACACGGACTCTGTGGTCAAAGCAAATGATTTGGGAGCGTGAGAGAGAGAGAGCAATTATCTGGGAGCATAAGTCCTGGTGGATTCAGTAGAGAATAAGTTTCAGAAGAAAAGGGAAAAGTCTCCATATTCAGTGTTTCCAAATTTTCAAACTACTTGAATTAAATACACATAAGGCAGGAATCACACATTCTCTGTAAACTTTATGTGACACCTCAGGGGAGTATGACACCTACATTCTGTATCTCACTAAGAAGTCCTGAATCTACAGTCATGGTTTTGAGTTAAGAAAGGAAATATTAATAAATGCTAATATTATTTCTAGCACTGTATGTGGAACAATTTAAATTTCTATAATCTGCACATACTGTCTAACCATAAGCTGTGGCTAACACCGTGAGAGTCAATGGGACAAGCTAATGGTATTTCATTTAACAAACTGAGTTCTTTAACACAAACTGACGTCTTTCCGTACATATTTATAAGGCTTGGTGGTTATTATTGGGACGTAATTGCAGTTGTTCTAACACCTAATAAGCCATGGTTGGAAAAACAAAGGCAGGTTAATTTGTGATTTCCTCTACTCATTCAGAGGCAAATTAAGTGTCAAACAGCTAATACAGAACATATTTCATTTTATGAGATTTTAATTTAATTCTGCACCGTATCGTGGATGCCTTAATATAGGGTGGTTTATCTAAAAAGAGGAGCAATTTATAAACCTCTTTCAATAGAATCATTAATGATGGGATATGATAGCATAATTATCGCAGCACCAGCCATCCTTCTAAACAGAGATCTGCTGGCATTTCCATCATCCGCACAAACCCTGTTTCAAGAGACTTATAATTTAATGTTTAAAGTTGGCACCAGACGAACAATTATGTGTACAAAACAATGAGACAATCCCCAGATTTTGTCTTCTTATAATTAAAAATATTTATTCAATACGCTTAGTAAGCTCACTTGATCTTATTTTCTAGAAGATAATTATAAAGCAAGCATTTTGGAATTCAACTTCTAGATAAACTCATTTCACTCTGCCAGGTTCCTGCTTTACCCCCTTGGCAAAGATGCGCTTTTAGGATTGCAGGAACCAAGCCATATTCACCTAGATTACCCTCCACTCCCACAGCGATCTGATCACAGGCATCTACGTTTGCACCACAGAACGTACCAAAGCCACCCAGGGATTCATGACCGAGCGGGGCCAGAACAGAATCTCTCAGCGTCTGTCATACCCCCAATCGTCTCAAAGGCTGCCTCTCCGAGTTTGCTTAGAGCTCGGCACTTGTAAGCAGGGGCTCACGTGAACGTGATTTCACTGAACTCTGCCTGCAACTGGCAAAGTCCAGTAAGGCGGGTAACTTCATTTCCATGGAATGAAACCAGCATATGCAAGTTGTAAGTTACCAGTTCCCAGCACAGGCCATTCACTGCAATAAAGGAGCCCAAGAGGTGCTCCGAAGCAGCCTCTGGGACAGCAGGCAAAGGTGCGGTCTGAATCAGGCCTTGAGCACGGGGTGTTTCCGCAGGAGCTTGCCCGGCAGGGAGGGAAGACCACCAAGGGCAACACAGAGAGAGCGTCACATCATAAAGGCACAGAGGTGAGGCTGACCCCAGCTTCCCAGAGCCCACTTTGTAAGCTCACTGTCTCCACCCAGGACCCTGCTATGCCGAGCAGTCCCAGGAGACCACAGACCACGCACGTGCTCACCACACTCTGTGCCTGGCAATGACATTCACTCGGCATTCCAGAACTTCTCTTTTGAGGCAAAAAGCCCTCCATCGTGAATCTTCGGTAACTATACATTTAGGCAGCTAGGGAATAACTCAGTCAATTGCTGCTAAATTATCCTAAAGCTTGGTTGAAAAAGCAGGTAGTGCAATCACCCCTCGGTCTGCAAAGGGCACTGGTTCCAAGACCCCCGTGGATACCAAAATCCATGGACCCTCACGTCCCTTATATACAATGGCTTAGCATTTGCACGTAAACTATGTGCATCCTCCTGGATACTTTAAATCACCTCTAGATTACTTATAATACTTAATACAATGAAAATAGTTGCCAGTGTGCTGCAAATTTGAGAACTTTCTGGAATTTTCTTCTCCAATACGTTCAATCCGCATTTGGTTGAATTCTCAGATGCAGAACCCGAAGATGCAAAGGGTTGACTGTATTAAAGTCTGTAAAACCCCCAGGTCAGCAGTCATATCTGAAATATCACCCCATTCCCTAGGATTCTCCGAACTTGACCTGCCTTGTCTTGTGGTATTTCTATCACCAGCGAGCTAATACTTCAGATGTAACAACCTGACCCTGGAACACACGGTGTGAGCTGCACGAGGGCCTGCTGTTGTCTCATTCTGCCAAAGAACCAAGACTTGGGGGGTTTATGGATAAATTCATATTTAAATTTAATTAGAAGGCAAACTATAATGAACCAAGTAGAATTAGTTCATTCCATCATAGAAACTCAAATTTTAAAATTTCTCTATAAATTGATTTTTGAAGGAGTGACACATTCTGAAATCCCATAGAAAATCTGATTTAAATTACTTCCTCACTGCCGAGACTGGGAGTCTGGGAGAAATCAGTCATCTGTGTCTCCCAGGCCCGGTGAGCCCTTGCTGGCCCTGTTCTGTGGTCAGATCTTCATCTGACATCCTCGTGGTCCCATCTGCATCACAAAACCCCAGTAGAATGGAATGAATTCCATAGCAGGTTTCAACCTTTGCATAGGGGGCCTTCAGTTGGCCTCTTGGTTTTATTTGGAGCGTATTTTTAGCAGGTCTTAGAACCCTGTAAATACTTACTTGTGTTCCAGTGAAAAGTCGAAGAATAAGTCACATGTTTCTGCATTCTCTCTCTCTAAACACCCACTTCTCCTTTAACGCATATAGAAGTCTGAACACAGATTTATTACTTACCTCCAGGCAAATCTGCTCTGAAATTACAATTCAGTAATGGGCGATGGATCCAAAAAACTGTTGGTAAAATATGATATGTGTACTTGGGCATATAGTTAGGGTTGTTAATATCAATTAATTCTGCTCACAGAGGAGGACTTGTTTTAAAACAACTTCATTTTTCTTTGGCATATATGTAATTACACGGCTGTAACTAATAGCCATGGAGATGCAATCCACCATCCGAATAACCAGCATTATTCTTCAAAGTATTATTTGCGCTTTTCTAACTTTACTGTCTCAGAAGGAAGGGCGATTGCCAGATAGGAC